TGTCTCCGGAGAGAGGACAGGGGAAAGCGACAGGGCCGGACAGATGAGTTTCGACACCTGAGGAAGGTAATCTTCTGAAACTGGTGTGACAGAAACGCGATGTCTCTCGAATCTGAGTCTGGACCCTCCGGACTGTCCAGTACCACGAGCCTTTCCGAACCGGCAGGCGCTGAGTATGGCCGGGGGAGAAGTCAGCACGCCAGCACCTCACAGAAGCTGTGGGGTTCGAACAACAACAACAGTTTCATAGGTTAGCCAAATTGTTGACAAACACATTCCCTCCGGAAATGTTACCTCACATTCGTCCGGCCACGACTTCCATACTCACCGTTTGAAACTCAGTTTAGCTTTTCAGAGGTGAGGTCAAGGACGTCCTCTCCCACACCCTATGAACTATAGCTCTAGCTTCCTCTAGGTGTAAAAGAGTTGCGGTGGATTCTGTACTAGAACGTGGTTTATACCTAAAGACCATATTAAGTTTCGTTCGGGAGCTTCAAGATTGACTTAACAGTACTGATAACGGAAACGCCATGTCCTACTGTCCAATTGTATGCTTGCCACGTCCACTGTTCCAAGAGTACCTGTAGATTCCATCGGAATAGCTACCTTCCCTTGGCGATTCCAAAAAACACCATCCATTAATCGCTAAGGAATAGTTATGGCCAATAATGGGCAACTTTTGTTCCATTCTCGAGAAGTAGCTTATAAAAGAACTTGCCAGCTACACTTCATTCAAAGGCACAGTCCACGATAAAAATGGTTCACCCATAGTGGACGACTTAAACACCCATAGTGGACGACTTTCAACGGCTTTGTAAAGGCTGCCCTATCTCAAGAGGCTCCCATATAGGAAGTTCTAACGACTTGTCATAGCCCATGGCGAAGTGGAAGTCAGTTTCGGGAAATTTGGGTCTAATGTGGACATTTCTTTGCACAATGGTAGCAAGTTAAATCTCGTCCAAGTACCCCTTACATGACGTACCCGTCACGGCGATCTCGTACAACCTCCACTTCCACTATTTCTAAAAAGCCTCGAAGTAGGCGGATTTTCTCGCTTTCTTCGCCGCCGATGTACTCCTCTGCATCAACACTTTCGCTTTTCAACATAAAAAGGGCACGACAGAATTATCATAGAACTATGTCTTTAAAGACCCTCTGCCCCGGAATGTTATCCATCCCTTGGCTTCGAACCGCCCTTCCTAGCCCATTGGATGCTCCTTCGGCGAATTTTTCTTACCTATTTCCATCCAACTCACAATCAGGAAATTTATTTTCTACTTGTTGAATTTCACTCATCAATTGCAGTCATTGTAGGGCAAGTGAGGCAGAATCAACATCGTACGAGTAATTTCTGAGTTCTTCGAGGAAAGTCCATTTTTCCCTGAAAATCGAGAGAGAGGGAGGGGGAGAAGGGCATCGGCACTAATGAGGAAGAGCTTTCTGAGATGAACCTTAATGAGTATCGATTGTGGTAATTTTAGAGTAGCAAGTACCCCCATGACTGGTACCCGGAACTATCTCCTGGGATCTACATAAAACTTTTATCGTTATAGCTCCTTCGCAATTCTCGCACACAGAAATATTATATTTCGACTAGTTCAAATAGCTCAGATGAATCAATAAGGACTTCTCATGATCAAATTTTAGACCCCATAAGATAGTTCCGTAGAATACGTACGAATAATAGAATGGAATAGCTTCAGTTATTCTACGTTCATACGTAGAATAATTGAAGCTCACAGTTATCCATTACAATTCTATTTCCCATCGGTGCCCATCCCCCTGCCTCTCTTGAATCCCTCGAAATCCTCTTCTGTCGCTTCAGATCGCCTCCATTACTCTGATATCCTGTCCGCCTCAATTCTAGTCGTCCATTAATCCTTCCTATGTCTCCTATAATACTTTGAAAGCTTCCGTGCAGTTATTCAGACACAGTTGGCTGTTCTAATTCGATATCACTCCGATGACTTCACCAAGCTACAAATGAAGCTTTTCGTGCACTTTAGCTGAATAGACAGGCTGTGCAAATAATTTGTACTTTCCAAATTGTTCTCCTTTATTTACCATCACAGTCATGATTTCATCGCTGTACACTAACGGGGCAGGAGTTTCCGAGCCACTGGTCCAACCTCCCTTTGGGACAATAGTAGTACGATCTTGGTCATGGAGAGAGGATGCGGAGAATTGGGTTCCTCCATCACTCGTTCTAGCCAGGACCCACGTAGAGGTTACTGTGGAGACCGAGTGCACGTATAGTACATGTACTGGATCTCCTCTACAGTTCAAGGGTTGTACCCGATGTTCCTTACAATTGAATTCACGCGACTGTGTACCCTACTGTCGCGATCAGGTTCATATGCAATCGGGCCTTTCCATAATAAAATCATCAAAAGCACCTACTATGCTTGCCTAGGGAGTGATGAATATGGGACCAGACGCTATGTAGTTACTAACAACTTACTTGTTTTGAATAGTCTTCTGACAATGAGTGGAGCAGGTACTCTGGCTACGAGCTGGAATAAAGTGCTCCGGTACAAAAGCCGCAGCGCAACCGCCGTTTTTTAGCAATGCCGCACCTTTAAATTTTATTTCCCCCATCTGACTCACACCTTCCTATTCCTTGTTTCTGCTGTTCTCCAACATTCATCTGACGGAACATTTTAAAATCCTCTTTCGGTATCTTACTTGCTCGTTTTGGCTTTCTAATTTGTCACGATAACCAGTTGCTTTCTTATTTCGCAGAGAGGATAAGCTGTCATGATTTGATCTTTGAGGAGCTTTCTATCTTCAACGGACGTGTCTGAAAGATAGTGGGCTTCCGACAAAACCTTCCCGTTTTGGAGCATTTTTTCAACTAGATAACAACCAAATCCCTTTTCCAAATCCATCAAAGATAAAGGCAATGGAGGCATATGGGGAGTGCCACAATTTCTAAATGTGGAACCTTGGAGGCCACTTATAGCTTTAAAAAAGGCAAAACATGTATTCCAAGTGTTCGAAGCGTCCAACAACACACAGTGTGGTGTCTCTGTTTTATTTTCTTGGCTACGCCTAGCTAGTCTTTATATTTCCTTAAACCAAGCCCCACCCTTCATATTCTTTGGCGGCGTTCACGCACTAGTTAGCACCACAACTACTCTATATTTCTTGAAGAAAGGTTTGGGGCTATATTGTTTATGGACATGTAGCCCAAAGTATTGTCGAGATGCAAGCGTCAACATCGATACGTGATGTGTAAAGGACTCTGTTACTGCGACATCCTGTTGTTCCCGCAGCGAAAAGGCGGGTCCCACGTGGACCTTCGCGCTTGCTCATTTTCGACTTGCCGCGTGGCGTCAGTGTAATCTCCCTGCGCCTGCTTTGGTTTTCTGTTATTGCTAGTGTGCATACTACGTTCTACTTTCTCTTCCATCTCGATTTTGATTGAAAATCCCTCTCGGTAGTTCCAAGGTGAAAAGAAAGTGGGTTCGGGTTGTATGGCATTTTTCACAAGTGAAAATGAATGTGCTTTCGCTCCGTTCCACATCTTTCTAATGTTTTCATTATCACGGTTGCCATAGTTTTGTCATTTCGCGAATGATCTCAGTAAACTGTCGTAATTTGATGCAGGAGTAGTTATAGAAGTTGTATTTCAGACAAACATGGATGACGAGCAACTTTTGGATTATGAAGAGGAACAAGAGGAAACTCATGAGCCCAAAGCTGCCGAGAATGGATCTGGTGATGCTAAAAAGATAAAGGTACACTGATAAACTTCTAATTGTTTAACATTGGCATAATTCTTCCTGGTTTTAGGGAAACTATGCTTCTATCCACAGCAGTGGCTTCCGAGACTTCCTTCTCAAGCCAGAACTCCTACGAGCCATCATTGATTGCGGATTTGAGCACCCGTCAGAAGGTGAGGGTCGTTGGTTATTTAACTAAAGCTCGGTTTGGTAGCATATTTGAGGACTTCAAGGTTTCACGAAGTATTTCGTTACAATAGAAAGTTAAATGAGCAGGCACACTGAAGATAGGAAAAAGATAAAGTCTGGGAAACAATTAGATGTTCTCCTGCTAATTTGCGTCCTGAAGTTGGGACCATGTTTGTTGGATAGAATTAAGTGGCTTATTTCATTAAATCACCAATGAGCAAACGTGACAGACACGGTTTCGGGTATGCTTCAGCCTGATTGAAAGCAGCTACGAAAATTGGTGCCTGGTATACGCTCTGATACGCCAACGTTACCCGATTCTTAGATTGTCCCCCACTTTTTGAACCTGGGTTTTTGAGCCTAATGCTATCGCTGAATGTGCTATCTCTTAAGTAATTTGACAGTTTTCTGAAAAACAAACCACTGATTTGTGCTGATTTTCACTGTGACGAATTTCCTGTTATCTGTTCGTACCATGACTTCCTTTTGACGTCACCTACCTTACGATTCTTTTTTTAGTGCAACATGAGTGCATCCCGCAGGCAATATTAGGTATGGATATTGTCTGCCAAGCTAAATCCGGTATGGGAAAGACGGCCGTGTTTGTCCTAGCTACACTTCAACAGTTGGAGCCGGTTGATGGCGAGGTACGACATTTTAAACTTTTAGAAAGAGAAAATAGAAAAGTGATTCAGCGCTTTGCAGGTATCGGTATTGGTTATGTGTCACACGCGAGAACTTGCATTCCAAATCTCGAAGGAATATGAAAGATTCAGCAAATATCTTTCTGCCATTAAAGTGAGTGCTTAGAGTTAGCTTTGGCTTGTGCGTTGCTCACCTGGTCAAGTCTTAATTATCTTCGTTTAGGTGGCAGTATTTTTCGGTGGTATGCCTATCAAGAAGGATGAGGACCTGCTGCGCACGAACTGTCCTCATATTGTGGTAGGAACCCCTGGTCGAACACTAGCCCTTGCGAGGTCTGGGAAGCTGAAACTTGATAAGATCAAGTACTTCGTTCTTGATGAATGTGACAAGATGATCGGGGATGCCGGTAAGCATAATTAGTAATTCGGTAATTTTCTACTTCGCTGAGATTAAGGTGTTGCCTGACTTCTAAGAATGCCAATTATTCATTTAGACATGCGTCGCGATGTGCAGGAGATTGTGAAGATGACGCCACAGGAAAAACAAGTGATGATGTTCTCCGCTACACTGCCGAAGGAGCTGCGCATCGTCTGCAAGAAGTTCATGCAAGATGTAAGCTACGCATCCTCGTTCTCTGGATTCCCCCACCGCAGTGCAAAGTCATGCGGCAAACCATGAGGAAGAGATTACGCGCGGTATGTTGTCTGCAATTTCTTCTTTATTCCCATTCTTAATGTTGTTTTTAATTTCAGGAACGCTTTTTGCGTTTTCGTTGTTTGTGGTCTCTTCCGGAGGACCGGCATCATTGGTGCTAAAGATGTTATCACCGCAATGCTCAAGGGCAACCTGAGATGCAACTGAGGCATCCATGGGTGACCGGTGTATGTCCCTCGATGTCTTACCGACATCTGTTTTTTGACTGCAGCGTGCGCATACAGTTGAACGAACTGAGGTTCATATTTCCTATGGATATGTTTTTCATTACTCACATTTGCAGCCCATGGAAGTTTATGTTGATGACGAAGCAAAACTCACCTTGCACGGTCTACAGCAACATTACGTAAAGCTGAAGGAAACCGAGAAAAACAGGAAGCTCTTAGAACTTTTGGATCTCCTCGAATTCAACCAGGTTCTTACCAGACACTCATGTTCCTTACCTACCATTTTGATCAACTGGCGTTAAGAAAAAATTTTCAGGTCGTTATCTTCGTGAAATCCGTTCAGCGCTGTGGCGCACTCCACCAATTACTTTCTGAGCAAAATTTCCCATCTATCGCCATCCATAGACAGATGCCGCAGGAAGAGCGCCTCGCACGTTATCAAGCTTTTAAAGACTTCCAGGTTAGCAGTCGTTTTATGGTAGACAAGACCATTGTCTAAATCGAAGTAATATTTATATTTAGAAGCGAATCCTGGTCGCTACTGACTTGTTCGGTAGAGGAATGGACATTGAGCGAGTGAACATCGTTTTCAACTACGATATGCCCGAAGATTCCGACTCCTACCTTCACAGAGTATGTCCTGATACTGTTGCTGGTCTTTCATCCTGAACTTTCTCATAAATTCTGCTTTTTAATTTCAGGTGGCTCGAGCGGGTAGGTTCGGAACAAAGGGTCTCGCTATCAGTTTTGTGTCGGATGAGTCTGACGCAAAGACGCTCAACAGTGTGCAAGACAGATTCGATATCAGCATCACGGAGCTACCCGAAACAATCGATGTCTCTACTTACAGTGAGTAACTTTTCCTTTGATACTGATTTTGTCGAGCTAGCTGGATTAACTACTGTGATTGACATGATATTCTACAATTTCAGTCGAAGGAAGAACAAACTAAACCTGGACAACCGTTCTCATGTGTTGGATGACTGTGTAACTGGTTCTGATATTGTTATTGTTTCTTGAAATTCATCGTATGGTCTCATTGTTTTCTTGTGTTTCTGTTGTCATAGTTCTTAATCATTGGTTTGTAACTCTTGCAAATAAATTATGATGTCATCATGAAATCAATTCTGCTGTTTATGTGCCTGAAACATAAGAGGTGGTTCCCTTCGGTAAAGGAACGGGCGAGTACTATTCATAATTCGTGCTGATATTTTTATAACAGGCTTTACAGAAATTAGTGGGAATACGCTGAAGAGGTGGTGCACACATAGTTTTCGATTTAGGTGCTGGAAGTTTAAAAAGCTGGTTTTATGGGTCTGAATTGCTGATGTTATCACTTCATTCGACATTTCATATGCCAGGGCACCTCATTCCATTGCCCTTTCCTGGATTGCGGGTAAGGGGATCGAGGAGAAAAGAAGGTAGTCATCATTAAGGGATGGTTTGAAGGAACGTTTGGTAGACAGGGCAGCGCTCAAAGGTCTTCGACCAAGCGATTTTTCGACCGTATCTTTCTTCTCAGTCGAGCAAATCACACGAAATTTGGATATTTTCAACTGAAGTATATCTCACACCGTCCAATAATATTTGATTGCAAAGCAGCAATAACCACTTAACAAATGGTAAGAGCAAGGTGTTTGTTGCGGTAGTAGACTTCGCTGAACGCAAAGTTAGCGACGTCTGCAGTTATTCGCGCCTTATGTGCGTTTTGGTCCTTCATTGGTTTGGGCATCAGCGCTTCTACACTTGAGACATGACGAGAAGGAAAGAATTCCCAGAAGGACAAATGTCCAAGAGCTTGAACTGGATTTTGAGTTCAAGCTCTTTGGGATATCTGGAACGTGACCAGATTGCTGGTTGATAGTGATAAATATTCACGATACACCCGTGCTACACATAAGTTCGCATGATAGGATCCGGTAGAAAAGGAGAGCTGAAAGTGTTTACGTGGAGATGAATTTCTTTGAGGAAAAGACAGAGCCTGGAAGAGAAGAAGAGGTCAGCACATTCCTGTCTTTTCGAATGGGAGTATTATACTGGTTACATTCAAAGTTCTGTTTATTATAAACTCCTCAGAACGAGTTACATGATAAATGCTCATTACAGAGATTCCTAGGTCTCGGAATGAAATCTAATACGTTACACACAATTAGCAGGATGCTGCAGAAGCAGAAATCTACCATTCTAATAAGGGACAAGGGCTTTCTGGTGTTCAATCGAAGTTGATGAAGATGGGAGCGACAGGTGGTGGTAAAAATTCAAGGACGTTGAAAGTCGTGGTTCGAGGAATTCTGGTAGCAGTCGTCCATTGTGAGGTATTGAGCTATAAAGATTCGCAGACCCAAACTTGGACTGTATGGGAGCAGCTGTCAAGCAGTCGCTCTCACAAAAAAAATTGCTCCGCTCTCTATTCTTCCCCATTAACAACTCAGCTCGATCTTTCCCGACAGAATTATGTAGAGAGTCTATTGTAACGCTGCGACCTCTTCTTACCCTGATCGTTCTCAGATCGATTTTCCCTCTCCTTCTGAACAATTGGGGGTCATCCAAGGGTCAACGGTTAGCAGTGTTCGTTGCCATTGTCATTGTCTCTAGTACATTACTGCAACTATGATGTCTCTTCTGGTTCTTCTGTCAGTAGCCGTTTGCGGTAAGTTTGAGACCATTTTCTTCCTGAGTTCTACTCCTGTAAGTGATGACTTTGACTTGAAACATTCTAAGGGTAGTTTTGATAGACCACTCGACTTGAATTGGTCTGACTAGACCGAAGGAAATGTAGAAGTGACAATCTATTGATTTAAGTGTATTCGGTCGAAATTCCGCTTCTGTTCGGAGGCATCTCAGTCGATAAGGATCACGTTGGCTTTCAAAGAGGGATCAACGTCAACGGCAATGGAGTCGACCACAGCACGAACTTTGGTTTTGGCAATGGAAATTTCGGTTTTTCAGGTTAGTTGGTCGCCGAAAACGTGGGCTCAGTACTGTGAAAGTTCTATTCTTGACACGTCTCCATAGTGAATATCCCAAATGCTCAGGAATAATCATCAATACCAGTAATAATCTTCAATCCTCGACAGCTCTAGTTGTAAAATCAGCCACCGTAACATCGATCTCTGGCAGGACCTTCTTGTTAAAGGACCTCCTGGTTCGATAAGAGCCTACGGTGTTACCTCACAAGTGGATCTGATCATTTGAAGCCTTAGCTAGTTAGGGACAATCCAGGGCTCAGAGTTCTCGGCTCTGTCAAACCCCTCCTCTTTGCGCTGTGATAGATTGATCCTGTTAGAGCCGCAGGTATTTTACTGGTAACGAGGACAGGAATCTACAATGATAACCAAGGTCACCCTAGTTCTTATGCAGAATGCAAATTTTCGACTTTTGCGGTCATGGGAGTGGCAAAGTTAAAGTAGGGCACTGGGTGCTCTGATTTCTCATCAGTTAGGCAATAGAATGTTTGTTCTTATGATTATTCAATGTTGTCCTCAAAATTTGGTTTTCAACTATTTATGATAATGTATGCATGACTTTCTCCAGATAGTTCTTCCATTCAGATAGCCTTGGTATATTGACGGATGGACAGAGAAGCGGTCCAAGCTCTTCACTCGGAGTCGGCAAGGATGGTTTCAATTGGGGTTCCGCATTAACTATCACAGAACAACCGAAGGTTCCTTTTTTTTNTTTTTTTTGAGATCGCTTCGTTCTGATTTTCGAGGTGATTCCACGGTAAAATGTTTGAATGGGCGAAGAGTATGAGTAGTAGATAGTTGTCTCAACTTCACCACATGACCGTTATCCACTAATGATAGGAAAAGAAACAACTACCATGGGAAGTCTAGGCGAAGCTCTTTGTTGCTTACACTTCAAATGGAGCTTTGTTTGAGAGAGAATGAAAGTTTAGTTACCATGGAAACGGAAACAAGCAGAATCTCAAATCAGAGAATTTGGTTTGTTTGAATTCATTATGAAGTCCCATTACTTGACTTTAACAACAGGACCTCTTATTCACTTAACTGACCAGAAAGGAGTCCGCTCAAACTAGGCGATCTCTTATAATGTAGCTTGTACAAACCTGATGTTCAGCTTGCTGGCGGTGTCTGAGGCTAAATTGAAATCCTCCATTAGTAAGATAATTAAGAAAGGTCAAGCCAGTGATGGTAGTGATGTTGGATTCACCCTCTCCCCATCCTCCCACTACCCGCTCCCCTTCGAAAAAGGTACTTCTGGAGGTGCTACTGTGGAGAAAGACTTCAGTATCAGTGTAGAATAGAGTGAGTCCCGAACCTTGAATGTGCTGGGAGGAGAGGAGGAATGAAGAAGTTTCGTGTTTTCCACTAATAGTTACCAAAGCACCAGTACATCCTGATACTTAACTCCTTTTCTGAGACTTACCTTTGCAGGGAGGTGAAAAAGTGCGATGCGGTAAAGTAAAGCAACCCGTAAGATTTGATGGGTAGAGCTGAGGTTAGATTTCCCGTGGAATTTCTAGAAGAATTCTGCAAGAATTTTGGCTCTTATCTCCCTATTTCCAGGATATTTTCAGCCTCTTTTGTGCTCAGTGACCCTTGAAAACATTTTTTTTATTTGCGAAGTGGGGAGTTGGGGGGGAGGGGGGAGGGCTGAATACTGCAAAAGAAACCAAAAGGATTAGGATTAGGGAACAGGGAGGGAAGACTGAAGAGAGCGTTAAAATAACGGAAAGGAAATTCTTGAGCTGTCCAAGTATCTTGGAATCTTGGAGTCAATTTTACTTTGTTACTTATACTGAGTGTACTTGTTTTTAGGTCCACAGGCGCTTCAGAAACTTCCGCAACTGAAAAGAAACCCTCATCCCTTTAAAAGTGAAGGCTTCACCGTAATTTTGATCTCGCTAATTGTAAATTCTTCACGAGACCTATGAAACTTGTAATGCTCTGACAATTTTTCTATTTTTGATATTATTTTTGTGACTATTTTTGTAGGTTATTTTTGATTTTATTTTATCTGAATAAATAGTGTCGCTTGGGTGTCTATTCATTAGTGAAGTGTTGTGATGACCTTTTGGCGCTGTTATCGATATCCCCGGATGTCCGTGAATTGTGTGTTCGTTCGACGAGAAGGTGACATATTTCGGGAAATATTTCAAGGTAACAACAATCCCCGTCGTCTCACGTATGCCCAATTATTTCGCACCCATAGAGATACATATTACGCCAATTAGGCAACGGAGCGCTCCTCAGCATGGAACGGAGTGCCGCTGGTCCTAGGAGTACTATTTCGATTGAGATGACTGAGAGATCCTATCAATCCACAAAACGAATGGAATGGGTGAAATAGAACACATCAATTTATGAGCATATTTTGGCGTTAATTCTATTCGCTTTGAGGTCTGAACTCGTTGCACCTTCAAGACACTCGGAAGAAATCTGAAAGCCAAAGCAGACGGTAGAACCACGCGGATTGTATAGCCTAATGATCTTAATGTTTGGACAAATCACTTTCCATCAAGTAGAAACTTCAGTTCAAAGTCACTCCACTGCTCCGAAATTCGTATTTCAAGTACTTGAATTATCCAGTTTTCAAATGGCTAGCTATTTATAAACCACAGTATTTTAATGGTGTAGGGCGGAAGTGGTGTAGTGGTAGGTGGTCTGCCTTAAATAGACGGTTATAGAATTGCAGGAGAAAGTCGCGCTATCACACACGCAGGTCACGGGTTCGCCTAGATTACTACTCGCCTGGGCCAATCAAGCTTCCTTCCCTTCAGGTTGTGTTTATCGGTGCAAGCTTTGCTTAGGTGGATGAAAACGCTGGCTTGTCCGCTGGGTGGCCACCACAAATGATTGTGTAGGCCACAAACGCATCCTAAGCGGACTACGGATTTGAAGAGAAGACGAATACGGAAGTGCATATCGGAACCAAGACTGATCAATACCAGAATTCATATTTCAGTCCTTCAATTCTTGCTGAAGTACT